TCTCTCTAGGTTTTCAGAATTTGATACTGTGCTTCCCGATCATGACCATGCTCCAGTACCTATTTTACGTTGGATGGATGAAAGTTGCCGAGGGCCTTTTGAATCCATTCGGCGAGGATGACGATGATTTCGAGTGCAATTATCTTATCGATAAAAATTTCACGGTAGTCACCTTTTAGCTCCAATATTTCGTAAAAAAACTCCAGTTAAGAAAATGGTTCTCAACATATCCACTGCTTTCATCGTAGTGGAACCAGTTTTGAGTGAGAGTGGTCCCTTCATTCCGGGACTTCTAGAATACCTGTGATGCTGTGAAATTTGCGCCAACTAACAACGTATTGCCGTGCGACTTCCGGTAAATCACCCAACTATTCACCTTATCGCGCATTATTCACCTTAAACGGGGTATTTTTGGCGTTACAGTGCCAGCTGAGGTAACATGATCAGAACTGGACGACATAGTGTCAGTTTTGAAAATTTTAATCTATTTTACGATTCAAATCTATCTATTTGTCTCTCTCTTTCATCTCGTTGGTACCACTGACACAAATAAACGATTTCTAGACAGCAATGTACATAGTGGATGAAGCACACCATGACTTGCCGCCACTTCAGAAGGATCAGTTTTGGCTGAGGGGGGAAGTTGAGCCGATGTATTCCAAGGATGCTGCTGCACTTCCAATCAATCCACTGATCGGTTCTGCTGTTCGGGCAGCCAGGTGAGAAAACGCCCTCTTAATTGTACTACTTTAATAAACTGGCAGGAATGCTGTAGAGGCAAACGAGATTCTGAAGGCGCTAGCACTGAGAATCACTCCAGTAATTAAGAACGGCCATGTACCATCAATCACCAAATCAAAAAAAAGGTTTTTGCAAACTTTTTGAAAATATCTTAAATTTAAAAAAAATAAAAACATAATCTTTGCCTGCTGTCACTCTTTCCAACGTTATGAATGCATGGAATGCCCAATATGGAATCATTTAAGTAACATCACTAACATGGGATTCTCACACTGTTACTCCGGAGTTATTAAGACGTCTATTTCTTTCTAATTCTTAATATAAATGTACGTTGTGTTCCTTTTGTTGTTACATTAACTTATGTGATGAATGTTAACATTAAAAAATTTAGATC